AGCGACGTTTCAGCAGAATCTCATCTGCCATCATCAGGCTTCTGTATTGTGTTCATCTGTGAGTCAGGCTTTTATAGTGGTTTCAGATTTAAATTTGGGGCAGCCTATTGCTGTGCCAGAATGGTTTTTTCTTCACCCTGATTGGTTGGGAGTCTTGGTCTGTGTTTATTGGTCTTGGAGTTTGCTATGTTCTGATTGATTTGTGTTTCTAATATCTCCTGTCTGTTTTTTGGCTCTTTTTGTCTCTTGATTGGCTGGCAACATTGCGTTACTTTATTGGAGGCCTTTAGTGCAGCTTGGCTCCAGGTAAATGGACAGCTATCATTAGTTGGGAAGCTAGGTTTCATCTGGGTGCCTAGTTGGGGTGTGTTTGAGCTGGAGGTATCAGGGGGGATCTGTCTGTGCCCAGGTGTTTGCCTGGCTTGTGATGTGGAGATAAAACACTAATTACTAGAACCAAATGCCTGGCAGACAAGACACACATTAAGACGGAACTATGCACCCTGACTAAGGTACTGACAGCCAACGGCTTCGACGAAAGCAAAATCACTGGCTTGATCCACAAAAACACACTGAGACATAATAGAGACCCAGAAGATGAACAGACCTATGGAACAGCTGTCCTGCCCTACATAAGAGGTACTACAGACAAAATTAGTAAGATACTGCACAGACATCACATCAAGACTGCCTTCAAAACAGTCAGAAAAATAGCAACCATCCTTAGAAACCCCAACGATAAAATTGACCTGGAAAACCAAGGCATATACGAAGTCCCCTGTGCATCATGCCCGGCCATATACATTGGACAGACCAATAGAAGAATAAGTACCCGCCTAGATGAACACAAAAATGCAGTCAAAAAGCTGGAACACACTTCCTCACTAGTCCAACACATGGAAGCCACAGGTCATAGCATCGACTTCATTGGCACCAAAACCCTAGCCAGTATAAAAAACCCAGCCATAGGTGGAGCACTCACATCACAATCAGGAGGCTGTGAGTAGAAGCAGTTATTTTTCCCTCTGGGCACACTGAAAATGTATCTGCTGAAAAAAATTCCACATTGTCAACAGGAAGGGCAACTAGCCAGTAAACACTCTGTTCTGTTGAAAGAATCCACCCTGCAAGGGATTTGGGGCTCATTAAAAGAGGATATTTCTTCTGAAAAAACTGCAATTAGTGTCCCACTTTTGTGAGTTGTGGGGAATGTAGAGCAAGAGATGATATTTTTCAGTAATACTATCTGTTCTCTGGAACAAGCTAGATTAAACCTTCATTTTAGCTGCCTATCTCACCACAAGATACAGTCGGGAGTGCCCAACAATGTGATAAAAACAACTATAGGGAATATGCAGTTATGTTTACTATAACATTATAGCACTAAAGATTTACTGAAAGAAATTTGAATATAATACTTGCTAAATCAAGGGTTCATGTGAAAGTGGACAGACAAATCCCTGTCCCATTTAAAGTCCAGGTGATATATGTTGAAAAGGAATAGGGCTATGATCCGATATCTGCAATTTTGATGTTATTGACCCTATTGTGTACTGTTGGAAGAATTATCCTTCTGGGTTCAACTCCAAGTGGGGAAAAAGACACTGGAAACATGGAGGCTGTTTGGAAAGATGGTTTAATGGTGGACCGGACCACATGGCTTGGAACTCCAAAGTGAAAAGGATAATCACATTGCTTCAAGGTGAAAAGAGAAGGGAGGGCCAAGATGCTGAGAGACCCTTATATACCCTCTGTTGGGCCCCATCTTAGTGTTCCCTGTTCCTATGTAAGAAATGTATCCCATTGGCTGTCAGACTCCCAGGGACGGGGGGCCTTAGCTAACTTCATAGGCTTTGTCTGGACTGCCTCACCTGTTTCTCAGAGGCCTTTATTATGTAGAATACTCTGGCCTTGGCCTTAATGGCCTATTAGCAAAGGTGGGGGTCTGAGTTTCTGCCTCTGTGAGGTGAGTTTCTGCTTCTAAGTTTCTACTCTTTTTAGGGGAAATACTCTGCCTTTTTAATATTTCCTAGGATATTTCAATTTTCTAGGAGAGAGGTCGGTGCTAACTTCCTACAGTACATTTCTGGTTCTGGCAAACTGAACAACCAGGTTAGACAGCCTAAAAGGCAGATTTTAGAATATACTAACGAGCAAATTCTTGATTAAAGCGTTCTTAATAGGGACCTCTCCGTGGTGGCAGTCTGGAACACCTTTTCTCTAAAGATATGTTTACAGACATTGTTTACAGAACTGTTTTCCTTCTAGACTTCATTTAATCACTGGACTTGTTTATTGCAGCAGGATGAGTGTTTATCTCTTATTCATGAATTTACATGTTCATTGTAAAATAATATATAAGCAGATAAATAAACAAATATTTATTTATAAAATAAATAAATATGTATAGTTAGGGTTTTTCTTCCAGTGATTACCTTCCATTATGTATTAGAATATGTGAATTACTTATGCTTCCAACTTTTGTTAGGTCAAAGTAATACATACGGTAGCATAGCTGAATGTTTTTTTTCTTTGGAAACAGGCTTCTATCTATATATATATTCATTATTTTAATATTAGATATAGCAATAGCAGTAGCACTTAGACTTATTGTCAGAGTATATTCATGAACT